ATAGAGAGCCGCTCCTATGGATGGGGTGTACACAAACCTGTACACAGCCGCTCCTATGGATGGGGTGTACACAAACCTGTACACAGCCGCTCCTATGGATGGGTGTACACAAACCAATACAGAGCCGCTCCTATGGATGGGGTGCACACACCTTTACAGAGCCGCTCCTATGGATGGGGTGCACACAAACCTATACACAGCCGCTCCTGTGGATGGGGTGCATGCACCTATACAGAGCTGCTCCTATTGATGGGGTGCACACAAACCTATGCACAGCTGCAAATATGCATGGGCTGCACACACCTATGCACAGCCGTTCCTCTGCAAGGGGCTGCACACACACCTATGCATGCAGTTGCACCCCACACCTCTGCACGGTTGCACGTGCATACCCACCTGCACCTTTGCACGCTGCCAGCCGTGTGTTTCCTTCCTGCAGGCGCTCACGGGCTGCACATACACATCCCCAAGCAGCTCCGCACGGCATTGCACACACGAGCTGGCAGCTGTGCACTGCATGCAGCTGTGCAGCCTGCTGGCCCTGCACTGCATGCACACGCATGTGCACCAACACGTGCTGTGCACGGGAACTGTGCGCTGGGCCCTGCGTTACCTGTGCAAACCCGCTCCGGATTTGCTGCGCGGGGGATCGCACAGGCCCTGGCCGTGGTGCATTGCCAAACTGCAGCCGCGTGTTTAAAGCCTGCAACAGCAGCACCCTGCAACAGCAGCACCCTCTGCCACTGCGCAGCACCCATGCCTGTTGCGCGCCTCGCTCGTGTTTATCAGGGATAAACTCAAAGCATTGTCACCGTAGCCCCAGCGTGCTGCTGGCAGGTCTGCAAAGCACAACTGCAAAGCGCAAACAAGGCCCTTCACGGGAGAAATCACTCCACGTCAATCAGCCGGATTCATCGCTACCTGCTGAGGAAATTGCTCCTTCCATTGCATTTTAAGGGAATTAATTCTGTTTACCGGAGAAAAAGCACAAGGAAAGCGCCGGTAAGAAGCACCTTGGGGCAGGTCCTCTGGGAGAGAGGGCCGCGTTGGGTAGAAAGTGCAATTGTGCCTCTAAAAAGGGGGTTGCAGAGAAGGGATTAGGGAAAGCTCTCCGGAGGGGCTTAGGGTTGCACGGGAAAGCTCCCTTCCTCGCCGGCTTTGGAGCAAAGGCTGGACAGAGCTGGTGAGCACCGGGATGCGAGAGCCTGGTAACCACCTTCCTGGCGTTCCCAAAGCAAAGCCAAGGAGATCCCTGGCCAGGACACACCAAGGCAGCAGCTCCTGGCAAGCACAGTGTTCCCTGTGGAAAAGCTGGCCGCAAATCCCCCTCCACCCTCAGCCATTAGCGCTCACCCAGTCTCAGTTTATCCTACAGCCGCTCGGATGCGCTTAAGGCCAAGGAAGCTCCTAAACCAGCCCAGGTTAGTCCCAGACGCTGCCCAAGAGCGTTTCTTTCTACTAAAATGTCAAAAAGGGAAGGAAGCCCCCAAAATCGGGCAGGTTGCCCAAGGGTTCCCATCGTCCCCAGGAAGGAAGTGGGTGGTGGAATTGGGACAGGACTAATTAATGGCAGGTGAGGAGGGGACCTCAATCAGCCTAAATGCAGCAATCAAGGAAGATACATGGAGCGCAGGAAGACGGATGGTTGTGCGCATTTATTTTTCTTTGATAAAAATGGTATGCAAATTACACAGCCACGCAGGCTCCGGGGAAAGTGTCACCCTGCTGGTCCTGGGGAAGGGTTCCTGGGGAACAGTGACATTCAAACACAGCAAAATGGGGGGAGAAGAGGTGGAGAGCGAGCGATGCGGGGGCTGGACGGGGCCGAACATGAGAACTGCAACATTTTCCAGTGGAGAGAAGAGCTCTGTTAACTCGGTTTCTCCTTTTGCTTTTACCCTTTCGTAAGCGAGTCTGCTGAGCACAAGAGTCACCCCCCTAACGCCACTGCAGAGACTGGATTCCGTGTGTGAAAATCCCCCTTTCAAGCACTTCCTTCTGCACAGCACTTTCAACCTCAGGTTCAAGAACAGCAAGCCTGACGCCTAAAGGCATCCTAAAGGCTCCTACACCATCCCCACAGCACAACAAGGCCAGAGGTAAATGTATTTTTCATGCGCATCAACCCTTTAAGCAGGAAATTGGGCACGCACCTGTGTGCGGGGGACACGGGCTCAGCTCATCCAAGGGAAATATCAAGACAAAGGACATCAGAAATTTCCAAGTCACTTCAATTTTTCTTTTGATCCATTCCCAATAAGATGCTGGGAGAAGTAACCAAAACCAACTTGGCTTCAATTTTAAATATTTGCCTGGAACGAGGTCTAGGGGAGGGAATCATGTACAGTTAAAATCAAGCTACTCAAAACACAATCATTCTGTTAAGTAACTAGAAGAATCGCCTCTACCATCTAGAGAGAAGAAGAGTGTCTGAGACAGAGGGCATATTTAGGAAAAAATACACATCTGAAGTCTCTGTGGCCACGATGAGAACTGGAATCCACATACAAGCCAGTTAAAGAGCATTTCAACATGAAATCTTAACTTAGTAGGAAGATCAGGGGTTAAGCTGTATCTTTTTTTTTTTGTTTTGTTTTAAATACATGGACAGCTGTCAGATATGAAAATGATGGTGGGCTTTCTCGAAAGGTCCCCCTGTGCATGTGTATGGATGCGTGTGCTGACRTCTGTGGGGCAGCATGGCAAGAGCTTAGGAAGGCTGGGAGCCCAGCAGTCTCTCAATAGCTGCGTTGATGTCCCCGCCGGTGGCGATGAGCGCCTGCAGGTTGGCCTCGCGGTTGATGAAGCCCATGGCGTTCAGCTGCTCCAGCTGCTGTTGGAATCGCACTTCAGGACTCTGCGCCTGCCACGGGGCAAGGAAGGAAGAGCTGAGACAGGGGCTGCAGTGCCTGCTGGCCCAGCGGGCAGGGTCGGTAAGGGTGGCTGAGCAGGGACCCCACATGAATTTGCACAATGCTGAAACCCTCCAGGCTCTCTTTGGGATGTGAGGGCCACTCCACCGAGCTCTAGCCCAAATTCAGTACCTCAGGTGACAGCGGAGCTGGGAGGAGGATCCCCAGCACTTATCTGTCCCTGCAACCCTTTAAGTTCAAGCCTGTGCAAAAGGTCTCTCTGCTCCCCAGAGAACCAGCCATCCCGAGACACCRAAGCAGGGCAATTTAGCAGAAATCCCTGTAGCCGGGAAAGCCCTGTTGGGGAGCCACAGCCCTAGGGTAGGGGGGGATGAGAAGGGCGTGCGGTTCAGCCCCGAGCTGCCCCAGGGCACGCGGTACCTACTTGAGAGCTTCCTCCAGCCAGGAGCTGGATCATCTGCTGCATGAGCTGCTGTTGAGGGTTACCACCCCCGGCTGGAGAGGCACTGGCCGGCGTCGAAGCAGAGGGAACGGGGTTCTCCGGGATTGTGCTTCCTCCTGTAGAGGACGGGGGCATTCGAGGCATGCCGAAGGAACCGAGGCTGCAGAGAGAAGCAGGCTGTGCTCAGGGCCGAGCCCGGCGGCCGCCCCGACGTACCCACCCAGCCTCGCAGCTCTGCATCTCGTACTTCTCCCCAGAGATAAAATTCTTGAGTGAGGCGACGCCAAATACCACAGGCAAGAGATCGTTTAGGGGAAGCGGCGGGGGGGAGGACCAAACATTTTTCAACCCCTTTTTCCTTTTCATTTGCAGAAAGGGTCAAGGACTTCTCGCACTACATTCAAACAAGCACACAGTGCTAATTAGAGCTCGGAGGCCTGCAGGCACACACGCAAATTCCCAGGGCAGAGGAGCTCTGAATCAGCAGCTCGYCTGCCTCCCGGTACCAAGCGCGTCGCTTCTGCCCGCAGAAGCCCTGGCTACCTTGGCACTAGTCCTGGGGCCTCCGTTTGCAGCGTCTGGAGTCCCTGCTGGATCTGCAGGAGCGCCTGCATGGCGCGAGGGTTGGTGAGGATGGAGAGGGAGTCCGGGTTCTGCATCTGYGGAGGAAAGCAAACGGGCTCGTCTACACGGAGCTACCTGCACCAAGTGGAGAGCAGACCTCCCAGATGAGCTGGGTGAATCACAGCAGAGCCGGGTGCACGCGCCCGCACAGCTAGAGGGATTTGATTTGATTTATTTGAACGAAGCAGCCGCGCTAGTGCAATTAGCTGTCTTAATTTTTGTAAATGCATTACTGTCCACACTGGGGTTTCGCATAGCTTAACTAGTCTCATTTAAAGTTCATCTTCAGGCAATTTAGATTCTTTGTCTAAACAAGCTCTTGCTTTCTCTCTCCCCTTTGGAAGCCCCTTTCTCTGCAGCCCAAACCACCCAGACCCACACGCTTCCTAGTGCGCTCGACCACGCGGCCGAGCTGCTCCCCTTCCTACGGGGGACCAAGGGGGCTCGGGGGGCAGCACAGGGCCAGACAGGGGCCTTTACCTGCTGCAGGAAGACAGGGAGCTGAAGGCGGAGCTGTTCTTGAAGCTGTGGATTCCCAGCAAAGAGGGGGACATTTACCATGATCTAGCAAGAGACAGCACACGTAGGCAGGGTCAGAGGGTGTTAAACCCTCGGCACCCAGACCACGAAGAGCAAGTCACACGTGCCCATGACTCCCTCCCTGCGCTTTCAGCTGACTGCCCTGTTAACAGGGGCTCAGCGAGACAGCTCAGGCTCAGGTCCTGGCAACAGGGCTGAACAGGGGCTACCGCCCACAGGCGAAGGGAGGGCCATTCCCACATCCCTCTGAAAGCCACTGCCTTTTCTTTGGGCATCTACTGCGACAGAGAATGTTTGAAGCCCTAGGGCTCAGGGCTGCCCTTCAAGCTACTGAGAAACACAACCCAACTGCCTATTCACTCAACTCTCAGCTTCCTGCAGAGAGAAACCTGTGCAGCTGCGGAAGCAGGCTGGCCTCGCGGGTGTTGCGCTCGAGGTCGGTCTGAGGGTAGCAGACACGCTGCAACTTTTACCTGTGCTGCAAAGTCTGGGTTCTGGGCAAGAGTTTGCATCATGCTCCGCATATAAGGCGCAGAGATCATGTTCTGCATGAGCTGAGGGTTTTCCGAAATCTGCTGCAGGAGTCCTTGCATCTCCGGGCTGTTAAACATGCCTGTAAGAGGAAGGGAAAAGCAAATAACCCCCTTGCACTGAGCCCTGCTGCAGGGCCTGCAATGCAACACGACGCAGAGCTGCAGTGACTTCACTGGCAGCAGCACACAGCTGTGTGCAGCTCTGCYTGCCACCTCCTGTCCTCTCAAGGGCTACAGGGACCTCTCCGGGTTCCCACAGTGACCCCCAGGCGGGCACACAATGAGGAACCCTTTCTCACTCACRACTGGGATAGAGCCACCCGTCCAGAGAACAGTCCCAGACAGGGAGCCTCCCTGCAGGGAGGTCTGGGATGTGGCCGGCCCCGAGTCCCCTCCTGCRTACGCACCAGCCCCGAGGTTAGCAGCGTTCAGCCCGAAGGGGTTGGATACAGTCGGGGTGCTCTGGGGAGCTGCCGAGCCCGCGCTCCCTTCGCTGCTGGGCGCCTGGCTTTGGGAGGCGGGGGGCGTGGGGCTCCAGGGGTTYGGCAGCGGCTCCCGGTTTTCCGTCCGCAAAGGCTGGGAGCTCGAGCTGTCAGAATTCCCCGCCAAGGAAGAGAACGGATTGTTGCCAAACTAGAGGGAAGAAAAAAAAAAAGAATCAAGCTTAATCAGTCAGTCCTAAAGGAGAGCATCAGACTAAGCYGAGCACGGCATGAGCTAAAGCCCAGCCCACCACATTCAGCGTTTGCTAAACACGTGCCATAATCTGCCTCCCGAGAAACCTGCAACCCTCAGTGCATCACATTCAGAAAGAGGCCAGGCCCCGCGGCGGCCACAGTCCTGAATCCGTGCTCGCTCCTCCGCGCTCCGAGCCAGCGGGATCCCGGCCCGCTGCAGCGCCAAGGCGCCGGCTCCCGTGAACAGCCGGGCCCAGGGAGCCCAGGCAGCAAGCGCAGCTCTCTGCCCACATAAACCAGGCCTTGCAATAAAGGCCAACGACTGGTGCACAGCACAACGGCCCCCGCTAGCGGCCTGGAAAGGGAGGGGACAAAGGGCTCGACGGGAAGAGGCAAGCGCGGAGCGTCGCCCTGCCCGCTGCCAGCGCGGAGCTGCGGCCGTACCTGCTCCCTGGCCGCGCTGAACATGGGCTCCTGGATGTCCGTGTACATACGGCGCAGCGCGTTGTATCCTCCCGGGATGCTCTCCAGGTTGCTCAGAGCCCGGTCCTGGTTCCGCATCATTTCCTGCATCATGGCGGGGTTACGAGCCAATTCCATGGTCTGGGAGAAAGAGGGAAACGCGGAAAGTTTAAGTCTGTGCACACTCGACTGATCCAGTTGAGCACTGAAGGAGTTAAATCCTGGCTCCCAGAAGAAAGAGCATAATTAAACCCGTTTTGCAGCCGGCGAGCACAGAGATCATTTATCCAGGCAGAGAGAGCCCAGGGATCCTGGCTCCTCCCATCCTTGCTGTGCTCTCCTCCTTCACAACCTCAGCTCAGCTGGACAAGAGTGTTTCGTTTCTAAGCAGTATCAGGACATCCAAACATTTAACACCCATATGTTCCCACTCAAAGTTGAGGCAGTACATTCAAGAACAGAGAAGGTAGAAGAGTTTGGATGCTTCCTCTTTCAGGAGCACCCAGTAATTCACCATCTCCAGACRGGTAACCCCTGCACAAGGAACATCCAGAGCCAATCCACAGAGCTGCTGACGTACGGATCATCTGTGGTTTAGTCCAGCAGGTCTGAGATTTGGGGYACAACTGACACAGTCCTAAGGAACGGAACTGAGAAGCAGATAGGAACTGTTCTCACTGGACAAGGGCCTGGAAGCAGCTCCTGACCAGGCTCTCTGGGGAGAGCAGAGTCCTGGCAGTGGCTGGTTAGAACATTAGCTTGCACTCTTGCCCTGTGCTCCCCTTCTGACAGGCTTGGTGTCTTACAGATAGTTCTCTAGGAAACGGGGTCTTTCCGGCCTCGGACCAGAGACAAAATTGAGTTTTCACGGATCCCAGGCCATGACCAGCGTTCTCCACTGGTAATACATCGCAAGACATTGTTCATATAGCCCCGCAGACTTTAATTTAACAATCTACAAAGAGAAACGGGAACAAAGAGCTTCTGCAGCAGCTTCACTTCACCACAACTGGTTTTGCAGCCATGCCTCATCAGAACAGAGTAGCCTTGCAGGCAGCACAATGGGAATATCTCAGCATCACTTTTGCCCAACACATGATGGATTCAGTAGTCCTGGAAGGGAGATATTACTCAGCCCACGTGCTTGCAATCCGTAACTACTCATGTAACTGGAGAGCACCATCTGTTTGGGGGGAAGCTCACAGCAGAAACATCGCCCAACTCACTGGATCTGGAATTTACACCCTGCCTTTTGAGACGAGACCTGAGGCGAGTGCAGAGATGCTCCTAGTTGTGCTTGAGACAGGCCTTGGGTGCCAGCTTTGCTGACTCACCTGCCGCATGAGCTCGGGGTTATTGAGCATGTGGCTTATCTCCGGATTCCGCTCCATGAGCTGCTGCATCTGGGGATTGGCCATGATCATCTGTCTCATGAGGTCGGGGTTGGACATCATGTTCTGCACCAAGGGGTTCTCCATGATCTGCGAGAGCATCTCCGGGTTGGACATCAGCTGCCGCTGCATCTGCTGCTGGAGCTCCATGAAGTTGGCGGAGCCCATGCCAAGGTTGCCCAGCCCAGTGATGCCACCAAAACCAGCTGGAGAAGAAAGAACACGGGGGAGAGATGCGAGTCAGGAACTGTTGGCAGCTGCAGAAAGGGGACGAGCGCCTCAGCTGCTGTATGTGCGCCGAGCTGCGGGCTCCCTATTCCCACAGCACTCGGCTCTGTGGGAGGGCATCCCACACATGCAAAGCAAGGGATTTGAGTTACCCTGAGCAGGGAAACTGAGGCACGGCAAAGACGTGCCTCGTGCAAAGTCCACGGCAAGGCACAGGGACAACTACAAGAGCCAAGAGCCCCAGCTCCTTGCTCTACTCCTAGGAAATTCTTCCGTGGGGCAGGGCTGTGGGGCAGGGCCRTGGGGCAGGGCCGTCACTTACAAAGGATGGATGCAGCGCTATTGGGGGCCCCGTCTCCAGTCCCCGCCATGGTCCCTGAGCCGCTGCTCCGCCTGCTGCCGCCCGTGTCCGAGCCGGCACTGCCGGACGTGGAAGGCTGGGACGGGGCAGCAGGAGACGCAGGGGTGGCAGCAGGGGCAGAAGCAGCAGTGGGGGCAGAAGCAGCAGCTGTAGGATCCTGGACTCTGCAAGAAGAAAAAAAATCATTAAATTCCTGAGATTCGRGTAAGTTAAGCAGAGTGTGCTCTGAGGGAGCACAGGACTGCGCCCCCACGCCAAAGTCTCCCATCAAGCCAGCGGTTCCAGCAGGAGCTGTTACAGTCTGCACGGATTCACAGCTGTGTTTTCCAGATGCCTTCCATGTGTTGGAATATCAGCCTCCCATCCCGATGCRTAACAGCCCTGACATTTCATCCTGGCCTGCACCAAGTGGCTTGACTGGTCTTACTCTGAATTGCAGCCGGCTCTTGAGTTGCACTGAACTATTTACCCCAGCCATATCCTTGAGCAACGAGCTCGCTCCAAACAGGAAAATCCTCCTGCTGAAACCCACAGAATCCCACAGAAACCGCAGGAGGTTAGAGCAGGGCTACTGCACGGGGAAAGCAAGAAGCTGCTTTTCTGCAATTCCTCCCATGCACCGACTATTACTAACGGTGCTCCCGGGGGACGAAAGAATTAGCTCCGTTCTAGAGAGGGGGAAACTGAGGCACGGAGCAGTAGTGTCACCTGTGCTACGAGGCTACAAACCATTCACAGAACCAGCAGAATCAGCACCAACACCTCAGCAGGCCCTTGGACATCACAGCTCCTCTCCAGCACCCAGGACCCGACACCCACACGTTTAAAGATACTCGGAAGCCTCTGCAGCCACTGCAGTGATAATCCTGTGCAAGCACTTAGGAACTAGCCCACAAAGTCCACTTTACTCCCTCCAAATTAAACAGAAAATACACATATGCCACCAACAAATAACCAAAACTATTTGTTTGCCCAAAATGGTTCCCGTTTCTAACTCCCTTTCTTCTTTCACTGTTACTCCATGACTTAAAAATAAACACATCTAACCTGAAGACCCTCTATCCATTTCCCAGATTCAACTGACTGCTGCTGAAAGTCAAGTGAAAGCCCCCAAGGGGGCCGGGCACGYGGGGAAATAAAGCAAGGGGGAAGCTGAACGAAAAGGAAGGGAAGGAGGAAGCTGCAGAGAGGTCGCTTGGTTTCTCTGTGCACAGGAAGAGGCTGCAAGGTCCTCAGTGAGCGCTTATTGATGGCTACCAGAGAGTAAAACAAGAACCCAGGGCAGCCTTCTCGTTCACGTTGGGGAAGGGGCCCCAGGTACCCACAGGTTTGCTGGGGAGAAGCGGCACCAGCCTCTCGGGCTGGATGGAGATGCAGAACCCAGGCAAGGGGCCTCACGCCGGAGCCGGCAATGTTCACGCTTGCTCTCGTGAAAGAAAGGCTGAAAAAAGGCCGGTGAATCTCGACCGGGGCAGCAAGGTCAGGCTGCGGCGGGGAGCCCACGAACCTGCTGCAAGGGGCACTGCAGCACCAGCCGGACGCGGCCACCTCCAAACCGCGGCCACTGTTAACGCTGCCGCCTCCGCTTGGCAGGATTTGGGAAAAGCTTCAYCCTGCACCATCTTTTCAGCGCTGTCAAGGGTGCCCCCCTTCCTCAGGAGGGGCTGCGCGGCCCCGACACCAGTTGTGTCGGAGCTGGAAGCTGGACGGGGGCGACGCCGGGCGGCACCCGCTAGCAAACGCTGCCGGGTCCGGGCAGTGACAAGGTCAGAGCTCCCCCGCGCGCAAAGCTGGACGCGTCCGCACGGAGTCTCCCTCCGCGGACAGCGAGGAAGCGGCGCTGCTCTGTCTGCCCCTCGGATAACGCGCTCCTCGCACGCGCCGGCAGTCGCTGCGAGGCAGCGAGCTCCAGAGCAGAGCGCGTGGCAAGAACCAGCAGAAGAACCGGGTGCTGGTTTCCAGTTCACCGTGGCCTCAGCGGGAACGCGGCTCCCGCCAAAGGCCCGTCGTTATTAGAGCATCACGTGCACAGGCTCCTGCAGCATTACCACGCTCCCCTCCGCGTGYGCTTTCAGTGCCTAGAACTGTATTAGAGAAGACCCAGCCCCCTGAGGTACTTCCAAATTCAACGGGAACTGAGTTAAAGCAGGGAAAGACGGGCCAAGTGACAGATCCCAACCACATGGGAAGCAGTGACGGGTGTGGGAACCTCAAGGACTCCTCCGGCCAGATCTCCGTTACCGCTCCCAAATGCCCCAAATCCAGCACGTCCCCCCTCGCCCCCACGGCACCGTTTCTTACTTCTGTGGAGTCTTAATGACCAAATGCACAGTGAGCCCATCCTTGATCCCATGTTGATTCAAAGTGTCTCCGTCCTTCAAGATCTTCCCCGCAAAGATCAGAACCAGCTGATCTTGTTTGGCTTTAAACCGTCTGGAAATCTCTTCTTTGAACTGGAAAACAAAAACAGTGCACTTTTCAGGAAAGGACCCAAAAAGAGAAACCCAAATATTTCAGACAACACGTTCCCTATGGAAACAGCACAAGGAATGGACGCTCCCRCAGAACTTCAACAGGAGCAGCTCATGCACATGCCAGCTCATTCACCAATTACTGAACACGTCTGATGTATTAAYGGGGAATAAAAAAAGAAAAATCATTTTTTTTTTCCAGGGAAAGCCCAACTCCCTGTGATTTAATACAGGGCAGAGCCCTATGGAGAAGGGAGCAATCCTTATCAGCCAATGGAAACAAACTAGGTCTTTCCTAATTCCCATTTCTGCGGCTGTATTCCCTGCGCGCACGAACACGGACGTCTCCTCCTGACTGTGTAACGAGGTGGGATTAACACCTGCCAATAAGATCGGCACTGCTGTCTCAGCGAGCGCGTTCCCAAGTTCACTTAGGAGGAAAGAGCTTTGCGCTTGGAAGCCAGAGAYGGGAGGAAACTCGCAGGGAAAAGCCGGGATGCAAACACTGGTCCTAGCTGAGCTCGGAGCCTCCGCGCTGCAACGTGCGGAGCCCACGCSGCACGGAGCTCCCGAGCCTCAACGTGCTCGCGGAGCTAACGGGGGTTTCGTCCTCAACAGGGCAGTCCCCGAAGGCGCCGTTCATCCCGGCCGGCTCGCAGGAGCCGCGGGGAAGGAGTGGGAGCGCCGCGGGGAGCGCAGGCCCGCGTGGCCGCGCAACGCGGCTCCCGGCGCCGCTGACGACACCTCGATCCCGTGGGAA